ATATAGTCCATGTCAGTAATAACTGGCCCATCCTGCGTCTCATTGGACTGCACAGTTTCCATTGTGCAGTGCCGGTGCAGGTGTGGATATGCTTTGTTACCCATAATCCTCGTCCTGAGAGTGGACTCTGTGAGTGTGTTTGACGTGGCCCAGCGTCCTGGGCCTTTGCTCCTGCTCTACAGAGCTGCTCGCGTCCTCTCGGCCGCTCATGGGATCTGACAGGCGGAAAAATAATGAACAACACCTCAACCCGCCACTGACCCTGCCCGCCTCACCCTCCGCACACCGGGGGGCACTCTACCACTTAATAGAGCCTCCAGCATCAAACCAGACACAGCCCCTCCCACAACAGACATGTCTTCAACTTTCGCAAGTCCACTTCATACTCATTTAGATAGTGTGCTACAAAGCATTAGATTATCAATCTAAATTCAGAAAAGGTATAGCCTACATCTGAACTTTCTCTACACCACACCATCATCTGAACCTCTATCCTCTCTCTTCTATCTCATGCAAACATTTCACTCTCCTCTTTTTCAGACATAAGCTTTCTGTTTGGTAGTTTTAACTTCTGCCTTTTCAGTGTTGTTTTTATTGCTCAGTTATTGGTATTTTTAATAAGTTGCTTGATTGTTGATTGTTTTAATTATGATCTTTTTACACCCTTTATATGATATTATCCATTGTACCACATTTCTGAACCACTACAAATGTACTGAACAGCTTTTCAGTTTGCATCACTTGTCTCGTACACTGTCTGAGTGGTCTGAACTGTCCAAAAGGCCTTTCTGCCCACATCCCTGGTGGAGCCCCGATGACCCCATTCCTGTGCCCAGTGACCGCTCAGTGACTCTCGCTCTCCAACAAACACCTGCTTCAATAACAAAACACACTTCTGACCTCAGCTCAGTCTGACAAATAAAAAATATGTTTTAATTTTTATTGCTGTATTATCTTTGGCCAACCTAAGAGTCAGCACTGGCCACATGCCCACTCAGAAAGTATACAAAAAATGTAAAGTACAAAATCTGTTGTGATTCATCTGATTTCTTTGTGATCAGGACCGCTCAGATTAGTCAAATCAGAATTTGCAGTTGGCATGCCATTTAAATAATATTATAACTCCAGAAATCTGATAATAATCAGATTTGTGTGTGCATGTAAACAGGCAGTGACACTGCCTTCATTGACATGATGTGACCCCTATGAAAACATAATAAATGCTTTGCCAAATGGATGACAATCTTGTAAACTCCATCTGCTCATTTCATGTTGGACAGTGTTGAGCCAGTGAAAAGGCAAACAGTGTCGCCCACGGACACATGAGCACATCTTCTGCTTTGACTGGGAATCAAATGTCCACTGATTTTAAGACAAGCTCTCCAACACTTTGTGTCACTTCAAACCTTGTCAGTGAAACGTTTAATTCAAGTACTGTTCACAAACTAAAATGTCTTATGACATCAGCCTTTTGCTATTATGTAATATAAGTTGAACTGTATCCATTACAGAGAAGCAAATAGTTTGCTGGTGTGATGTAACTGTAAATGTGAGGAAGCCTTGGCACAATAACACAACATCGTAAATAAGAAATGAATAACACATTTGGTTTAGGGCTGCCAAAAAATCGATACCATAGTAAGACATAGAACAAAATTTCACCTTGAACCAATTTAGAATCTGTTTGAACTAGTCCACAAAGTGATATAATGAAGAAGCTATTATGTTATGTTGTAAATTACCTGCCCAAATATATATTTTTGTGGTTGTGGTGTGAAATATAAACCCCTTTTTTTAACAAGTTATAAATTATAGTATTGCGACAACACTAATTCGGTTTGCAAATGTCTCATTGTAGATAAACAGGATTTCACAGTGTGTGCATTGTGTCCTGGTTTGACAGAGGAGTGGGCTCTCATCTGTCCTCATGTAAACCATCACAGCAGAGTTTCCTCCACAGAGCTGCTGTCTTCTAACACTTCTGCTCTCTCCACTTCCCCCAAGATGTCTCTCATTAGCACACCATCACATCTTCCCCAGTCCATTATATGGAGGGAATCATCTGGGTTAAGGGTCCTGTCAGGTCTTTTCAGGACACCCACATACACTATCCCATCCTAGAGCATCCATTTTAGAGCTTCTTCTTCCCACCACCAGACCTAGGACACTACAATGGCGCTTTTCAGATGTCACCCAACAGATCTGACTGGGTGCCAAATTGGGACAGGATTTGAGCTTGTCCCGAAGTGATCAAACAGAACTTGGGTCAGTGGATCTACCTCTAATTATGAGTGTGCAGTCTCAGGATGTCACACAGTGGGTGGCAGAAGGACCAGTTTAACTTAAGGTGCCCCTGCATCAGCGTCTGGAAGTAGTATTGATATCAGAAGACTCTTTTTGTCCACCACAGGGTTTGAAATAAGAAACTAATAAGAAAACAGTGAATCTGCATCAACTTCACCAGAAGTGACATAGTGTCCAAAATGCCCACATCACCATCACTACCTCAATTTTTTAACCAAGAGACAAGGAAAAACTTAGGATGTAAATGATATATTCAGGGGGTAACTATTAGAGCCATATGAGATGGAATTAGTTCCACTTAAAATATTCTCACTGCTGAAGAGTGGCGGTTTTAAATTTATGCAAATTTGTAATTATCACTAGGTCATTAAACATAACATATTAACACAAATATATCAATTTTAACTTTTAATGATTAAGGTTTGTTAATGTTGGGCATTTTATAAAGTGATATTAACAGAAGTGTAAATAAATGCAAAATGACAACTACAACATTCAAAAGTATAAGTAAATAAATAAATAATCTGCGTATGGTGAAATATTAGTCTACATGGTTGCCTGCTGTCTGTTTGCTTCAAATGTGTTAATCTCATTAATTCTGTTCTAACACATGCTTGCATACATTACACACATTACACACATTATACACATTATACACATTATACACACACAGCACAATGCAAATGCATAATGAGCATAGCACATACGTGTGCATTAGCACTGGAGACGGCCGTGTAAAAAGGTCAGAGTCAAGTCAAGAGTGTTTTTTTAAAAGATGAAGATAATTAGTGGGTCATTGTTTTAATGAAGCTGAGGTCAACCTCAGGTCACAACCCCAAATCCACTGTTTTTATATTACAGGACATATTAGGTGTCAGTAAATATATTCAGATATTGAGAGTCACTATGACAAGTGCATGTAGATTCTAAATAAATCATAAATAAATCATATTTAAATTGAAAATCACACAACCAAATGTATTACTACTATAAGAACCATTGTTATGAGGAATGACGTTTTTCTTTGAAACATTAAGGCCTACTTCACTGAAGTCTCAAGGAGAAAGTACAGTGCCCTGTTTCTCATATTTGTACAGTCAGTGAAAGTGTATGTAATCCATGCATAAGCAGATGTAATGTTTGCTCTGTTATTTCTAAATTGCGATAAACCATTATGTGATTGTCCCTAATCTTCTCACTGTGGGTGGCTCCTGCGTTTCCCTGGTTACAGACGATGCAAGCGAATTTCCTGATTAGGAACATTGGCGGTCCAGAGCTGTCAGGGGGCTGGGGGACTCTGACCTCCGGTAAACATATAGCTCTTCTGACATAAAGAAGTGGGACAGTTGGTCTTTTGTTTCATGACTTTCTAGGAGGAGGAGAGAGGCTGCAGATCTGTGCCATAAACGACTTTGATTTTCACCTCAGACTTCAGCTTCAGTGTGTTATGACTGCTGAGGTTGTTTGTTTGCCCTGAAATAAATATATATTCAGTCACATATTATAATTGAGAATAAATTAATAAAATGATTAAATATGTTTGAAAACTATTTCAAAAGAACTGACAGCACATTTCACCTTTAAACAAAATAAATAAACAAAAAAATTATTAATGGCACAATTTTTATCACTAAACCCATGGATATGACCAAAAGTTTCTTTCTATGTCATTTTTACAAATTTTGAAATTAGATTCTACACATTATGTGAACAAAACATAATTTATTATGGGGAAAACACACAGTTTACGTTAAAATGGACACTAATGAAATTTTAAAAAGTAGTCCAAATACAATCAAAGGCCACATTGTTAGATGTCAGAGGAAAATATGAGGCATAATCAAGCATCAGTCAACTTTTACAAAAATATACATTTATTATAGGCATGTGTTCTGTACATCAGCAGTGGTTCAGTCAATATGAAAGAACATAAGGCAGGATTTGTGTGGTACAAACCTATAGTACTACAGTATACTGCATTTGGGCACATGGAGACAGGGCACTTTGAAGTATCTGAGGTAACAGTGGTCGACAAAGGCAGCTAAGGCATATTAGTGAATCAGTATCAAATAGAAACAAAGAATAAATTAGTGAGGATGTACCAACCCTCATGGAAATGTGAGAAATATGAAGTGATATATGTGCCAAAACAAAACATTTAATCACAACTTAGATGTTTAGATGTAAAAAAAGTTCTACTCCATAAAGATTTAGAGCTGATGCAGTACATGTCTATTGCAGCTCACAGTGTCAATGCCTTAAATGACATTATTTAAATACAGTAAATGAATGATTGTCAGTAGTGTCCCGTGATTGTCTTAAGCACTATTCAACTGTGAATAAAAGTTAAGTGCTGTTTATGTTGGCGGTTCAGTGCAGTCATTAAGTGCCATCAATATGAATAAGTCTTTAAATGTCCACAGCTGGATTGACACAAGCCTCATTCTGATCAGTGTCTGTGTTTATAGAGTGCAACACATTTCAAGTGAAAGAGAAGTCAATTTCATTTGTAATATCCAATGTTCACTGTCTTTCACATTTCTTGATATTTGTTGCAGTAATGAAATTCCAAATGAGTGAAATCATTAGGAATTTTGAAAAGTAAAATTCCTTATTAACCTATTTATTAAAAACAAAATCACGTTCTAGATTTTGCACCAAACTTTTTCACATGAGAGCATCTCTGTGAGTCTCTCCTAAAGCTCAGATCCATCTCGTGGGTAGATCAAGCTGTTGACACTAAAACTGTTATAAAAATGTCCATTAAATTGTCCACTCTGTCCTCCACTGCTGAGCGTATTGTAGTAAACTCCTCTGTTGAAGTGCAAGCTGGAGTCCCCGTGCTCTGTCGCCACAGTAACGTCCTGTTGCTGCTGCGGTGCATTGTGGGAAGTGTGGTAAGGAGACAGGGCTGCCGTAATGTTCCTATTAGCCAACTCATTGACCAGTCCGATTGCCCCCTGTGATCTGTTGGGGGAGCTGAGACTGGACATGGCGCTGTAGAAGTTGTTAAAACACGGTGAGCTCGCCGCATGTCCCTTGTGGTTTTGGTGATGTTCTTCTAGTTCAGGAGAGGACTGTCCCAGGAGAGATGGGGGGCTTTCAGGGGACTTAAGGGAGGAGCCCACCCCCCCAGGCCGCTCAGGGCCCTCTTGGACTTTAGAGGAGCTCACGGAAGACACAGGTCCGGAAGAGCTGGGGTCTGAGCGGCGCTTTCTTTTCCTCCTGAAGTTTCCGTTGTCAAACATTTTCTCACAGTTTGGGTCCAGCGTCCAGTAGTTCCCTTTACCTGCAAGCAGAGGACATATATTAGAACAAAGTAATACTGATTTGAATCAATACAAGTCAGTAGATACAAAGATTATAGCAATATTTCAATTTTGGCCAGTGTGTTGAAATTAAAATTCAATATTCACATATACAAAACGGTATACACATTGCAATAGAATCTAATTTATCTGGACAAATATCAAATTATTAAATTGTCCACAGATTATTAAAAAGTATATAACTGACAGCATAAATATCTCTGGATCTGAATTTGTAATTTTTTAAAGAAAATTTTATATAATTACATAATGAATTGATAATAATAATAATAATAATAATAATAATAAAAATGTTTCTGCAATTTTACATCTATGCAATTTAATTAAGTGTATGAAAAAAAAAATGTGATCGGGACTATATATGCATATTTTTGTGCATTTAAATTTTAAATTCATGAAAAAAAAACCAAAAAAACCCTGTGTTTATATTTTTATTTATTTTTATTTATTTATTTTACTATTTTTATTTATTTTAAAAAAAAAAAAATCTTAAAATATATTCCCTAATCACTTTTGGATTGTCTTTCACCTTCACCTGAACTTTAATTCATTTTTAAGATTAAGCACCAAACATTTTTACCATCTAATAAAGTCATGCCTATTTCCAATGTTTGTATGAAATTATTTGACACATTTTCTTGATGAATTATTTGTTTGTATTTTATCCAGTGTAACCACAAAGTGTGTGAGTGAAAAGCACTACAACGGGTCAAACAAAATAGACATTGGAGTTGTTTTACGCACCTGGGTCGTCCTCGTCTCTTGGCACCTTCTTGAAGCAGTCGTTCAGAGACAGGTTGTGCCGGATTGAGTTTTGCCAGCCCGCTTTGCTCTTTTTATAAAACGGGAAATTATCCGCCACGTACTGGTAAATCTGGCTCAACGTCAGCTTTTTGTCGTGCGCATTTTGGATAGCCATTGCGATCAGCGCGGAATACGAATAAGGCGGGCGCACCAACTTCAGCAGCTCCTCCTGACTCGCTATTGACAACCACCCGAGATCCGTACCTCCAAACCCGGGCGAGTTGGTGATGAACTGCCGCTGTGATCCGTACGATGGAGGGATGAACGGGGCCGGACTGCTGGCGTGGTGCAGATACGCGGCAGATGTGGAGTTCACGGCGGGACCATTGAGCCACAAGTACGGGTTGGTAGATGAGGTGTAGTCCCCGAGCGCGTGAGGGCCGTATCCCGGGGGTCTTTGCGCGCTCTGGACGCTCTGCTGGTGATGGTACATGGAGCTGAGGTTGTCACAGTAAACCGCGGTCATGTCCTCGCCTTTCTGGGGCGCAGGGTGGGGTGTAGCGTGGCTGTGGTGGCTGCTGTGCTGGTGGTGGTGCGGTTGGAGAGGGTCTATGGAGTTCATCCCAGAGTCCAAGAGACGAGAGACGAAAAGTGTCTGTGAATGAACTGGAGGACTGACTGGAGTTTGGAGTGAGTTTGATCAAAACATAAAGACTCAAAGGAAGAGCAGCCACCACGAGGATGGGAATGAGACAGGAGCCAATGGGAAGGCGTGGAGGTGAGAGGGGGCGTGGTGAAGTTCATTCAGCAAAATATGTCTCATGTTCTCCTCCATCAGCAGTGGGTACAGAACAGCAGAGCCTTAACTATTAGTTCACAGCCTGTGCGCTTTAACTTGTTATGCTCACGTGCATCCTATCGCTACATGCCTTGTTTAACTCATGATTTAAAAGCAATCAGTGTGCTACAATTTTGGGCCTGCTTCATTCTTGTCCTCCTGAGACCCGGCCCATTCATGTGTGTCCTTTGTAGCGGACATTGAGTAAGTCTGTCTTGTAAATGTTCTGAGATACATGATCCTTCCATTTCAATGCAGACACACAACAAAATAACTCTTATTAAGCACTTTTAAATCTTTCTATTCTGATCGTAATGATTCAAGATCTTGTCAAGACATTTAAAAAGGAAAAAATAGCATTTCTACTACTCTTATATAAATATACCATGACTTTCTAAGTACTGTTTAGTTTGAAAGTCTTGTAAATAGCAAAAATCCTAACCTATCTTTGGTACTTGTTTTTGTTTTAAAGACTTGAAATTACTTGAAGCTCAAAGCAGACGACTTGGACTTGACTTGGACTTCTGTTTCTGTGACATGAGATTTGACTTGGACTTGCCTGTTTCTTTGACTTGGAACTTGACTCGGACTTGAGGTGAAAGACTTGAAACTTATTTGCGAAACAACGACTTGGTCCCACCTCTGTGCCCAGGATACAAAATTAACTCAACAAGAGTTAGGAGTTACTTTGAGGCTGCACTATGACAAAAAAATAATAATTAAAAGGGAGTCTAAACATTTTTTTAGACAATTTTAATAGTTTGTCAGGTCTTCAAAAAAGCTGTTATTGTTCAGTTGTTAACTTCACATTGATTTAACACCAAAATGTCCCCGGTGTCCATTACAGAGGATATGTTACAAAATTATAAATAAAATAAAATTAACAAAATCTAAATCTAAGATGTTCATTTACCTCCAAATAGAGAGAAAATCACAAAAATATGTATTGCAACACACTTTTTTCTTTGGGAGGACATGTCTTCTGTATTTCATTATTCTAGTCTGCCAGTCACAATCAATAAATCACAGAGGTTGGGACCACGTCACACAAACCCATTAGGTGACAGCCTATGTGAATAATAATTCTGACACTAAATTATTAACACACACCGTCATCTGCGCTAGCAATAGTCCTACTGTATTCACGCATGACGAAGAATTAGGAAAACAAAACATCCAGCACTTGGTGACCCTTCAAGTTTGATCATTGTCCAAGTCTGCAGCTATTCCTGGATAGCTTCCTTATTGGTTTCTTTAGGTCTTATAGCGCCATCTTATGTTTAACTCAGGAGTCGTGTCACGACTGTCACACTAATTAAAATAATATTCGTGTCTGACCACAAGATGGCGCCGTGTTGCTGTTGTTTCATTGAGATAAGCTGAAAAGAGCTTCTAAATGTGGTACTCACGTACACCACCAGAGGGAGACAAAGACCGAAAAGTCAAAGACCTGAGATTTTATGAATGAAGCTCGTCCTTCATATGGGAACATTGAAAAGTAGGCAACTAAAAAGTAAAAAAAAAGTATACACACACACACACACACACACACACACACACACACACACACACACACACACACACACACACACACACACACATCACTATCTATCTATCTATCTATCTATCTATATATATATATATATATATATATATATATATATATATATAGATATAGATATAGATATATATATATATATATATATATATATATATATATAGATATAGATAGATATAGATAGATAGATATATAGATATATAGATATATATATAGATATAGATAGATATCGATATATAGATAGATATCGATATCTATCGCAATACCAAGCGATGGTAATATCAGGAAAAAGGAACAAGAGAACCTAGAGAAATTCTCTCAGCCTGGAAAGTGAAGGCATCAGTGGTGCCTGTGGTGATGGGAGCACTTGGGGCCGTAACCCCCAAACTGGAAGAGTGGCTACAACGGATACTGGGACAAAAAAAACAGACATCTCAGTCTAGAAAAGTGCAGTACTGGGAACAGCAAAGATACTGCACAGAACTCTCAGGCTCCCAGGCCTCTGGTAGAGGATAAGCCATTATATCCTAGAATGATTCTTCAGCCGGTTTCACGTCGTGGAGACCGTCTGACCTTGCAGCATTAGGATTTGTTCACTCAATGGTAGACAGGTACTTTTTTTCATTTAACCAATCGCTGCTATTTGGTTGTGACGTATGTAATGTGCCGCTATCAGGGCTTATTGGTATATTAAGCTTTTCCCAAATCCCGTTTGAAGAAGGCCAATAACATCTTTCATCTTGATAAAATTCACCAAACATTCTCTTTGTTCCGGCTTTAAATCCTTGATCTCAGGAATCGTTGCCAACACAGAATATCTGGCTCTTCGCTGATTGGCTGGTGCTTGAACTCACACTTCCAGGGTTTTTGCAAATTGTCTAGTGTATTTTGATTCCTGACCTAGTCGCTGGAGAGAAATGAAAGTGAGCGGAGGCACTAGGTGGCGCCAACCTGGCTAACCATATCCTCCTGGGACCCAAAAAAAAAAAAGTGTATTGCAATATAATTATTTTGTGTGTGTGTGTGTGTGTGTGTGTGATTTTCTCTCTATTTGGAGGTAAATGAACACCTTAGTATTTAGATTTTGTTCATTTTATTTTTATTTATAATTTTATAACATATCCTCTGTAATGGACACTGGGGACATTTTGGTCTTAAATCCATGTAAAATTAACAACCGAACAAAAGCACATTTTTTGATGACCAAAATCTAATTCCTGGGCATAATAGTACCCTATAATCCCCCAGCCCTATTTAGGCAGAGGAACCTAGTCACCCCATTAAGAGTCAAAACACTCAAAAGACAGACTGGTTAATTCATCGTCCACTACAAAGGACACAAATGAGTGGGCCGGGTCTCAGGAGGATACAGGTCTATGAATGATATTTGCTGAAGCACCTGGAACAAAGGCTATACAAGAAGAACTATGGTTTAAAAAAATGAATGAGAGAAAAAAATCCAATCAAAACTATTTGACTCTGTATTGGCTCTCCATCTCTCTAGCCACAGGGTAATTGTGCCGCTGTAGCACTCGGAGTCTCTCAGTCTGACTGTAATGCTATAATATTGGGGTTAGCTTCAACAATAATCCCCTCCAGCTCATCGCACGTCACAGAAAACCCAACTATGAGAACGTGAGACAGTGGTATGGGCCCTCTGAAGTTTTCCCCTTTTTAAGTAGTTTATGAATTATTCTTTTATTCTCTCTTTACTTTTGAGGGGTTTGGGGGAGTGAGAAGAAATGTGGATTTGCAAAGAGACCACAGCCACATAAAGCAATGATTTGTCATATTTTGTCAGAGGTTGGTGTCAGTTTTATGGTTGTTTGAAAAGCAAAAGAAATAAACCAAAACTTTATTGCATATGAAGCAACTGACAAACCCAACCACAGAAAAGCATGGGAAAGAGTCAACCTCATCCAATTTGGTCACAGACAAAGAAATGGGGAAACGTAGGCCTGCTGGTTATAACATGATTGGTGATGTGACATTTGTGAATGATTCAGCTCTTTTGAACGATTCCTTACTATGAACGGATGGATCCGGATGCCATTTTTTAACCGAACTTTAACCGAACCAAATAATTTTCCTTCCAATTAGTATGCATTTTTTGTACAGAAGCAGAACAGACAGCACAACTGACAGCTTTGTGCACAAAAAATATAAATAAATAAATAAATAAATAAACAAACAAATAAATTAATAATAATAATAATAATATAATAATAATAATAATAATAATAATAATAATAATAATAGCTATAAAAATATTAGGTATAGTGCTACATTTTATATAGATTTTCATAAAGGTAAACTCAATTCCACTGTCAGTTCATTTTAAACAAATCTTGCCCAAGGAAATTTTGTAGATAAAATATAATATAAGCTCTTGTGTTTGCTTCTGTCATATGAACATGAACATGAATGGATCTAAAAGATGCAGATCCTTCAAATGAGCCAAAAGCCCCATCACAAAAAATTATAATAGTGATTTGATTTGTAATATCTGACCAGTTCTTCAGCAGTTTGAAAAAGTCACATATTTGGAACTGAATGGAATACAGTTAAGATGTTGTGTCCAATGTTTTGGTGGCATCTGGTGGCAAAACCTCTAATTACAACTGTCTAATTGTGCTGTGTGGGTATATACAGTTAGCCTGATTCATCAGCAGCTTTCATGTCGTAGAAACCATCTGACCTCGCAGCATTAGGATTCGTTCGCTCTACGGTAGATGGGTACTTTTTAAAATTTAACCAATCGCTGCTATTTGGTCGTGACATATGTAATGCACCGCTAACGGGGGTAACTGGTATATTAAGCTTTTTCCAAAGAAGGACAATAACGTCTTTCCCCTTGATAAAATTCCCTAAATTTTCTCAAAATCCTCGATCTCAGGATTTCGTTGCCAACACAGAATGTCTGGCTGTTGGCTGATGGGCTGGTGGCCGAATTCACACTTCCAGGGTTTTTGTGAATCATCTAGTGTATTCAGATTCCTGACCTAGTCGCTGGAGTGAAATGAAATTGAGCGGAGGCACTATGTGGCGCCAGTCTGACTAATAGACAGCAGTTTTGTAAAATGATACTTTTCAGAATGTCATTAACATTCCTTAAGATAAAGCTAACTAGAAGCACTGCCCTGTCTCATTCTCCATTTCAGTTGAAAATCAAACACCTTAATGAGTGTTGGGGTGTTTTTAATATAATTTATTATAATGAATTTATTTATTTATTATTATTAATATCTGACAGCGTTTTCCCGTAT